AATTCCTACCCTGATCTTGATGACTTCCTTCCTTATACTAGGTTTGGGTCTTCATTCTGTAGGATTTTACGGTACATTATTAGGTTATTTATTTGAGCTCACTGTTTTTCTAGTGTGAGCATTCATAGCAATAAACTCCCTTTTAGGATGCTTTCACTGTGCTCCATAGGTTCTGTATGTTCTACAACATTATCACTTCATTCTAGGAATTGTTAATTTTATTTTCCTTGATTGTTTTCGCTGACCCATTCAGCCTTTAGGATTCAACCCCCTATTTCTAATGAAGGCTTAAAATCCAAGTGTTGACTTTTCTTTCATTCCCCACTATGTAACCAGTCAACAAAGCCTACTTAAAAATATTTCATATATCCATTCCAACAGACCTTTATTCATGCTTTCTTTAGTCTTACCTATACAACTCTAACTTGTAAATTATCCTCTCCAAGAATGCATCCCACATAATACCCACTACTTACTATTCTTAAATACTAATGTCATCAATCTTTTGATCAAAATTGCATTTGGCTAGGCATGGTGGCACATACCTATAATCCCAGTACTTAGAAAGCTGAGGCAGGAGGATCACCATTGAGTTTGAGGCCAACCTGGCTATTCTATACTGAGTTCAAGGCCTGGCTACACTACATAGTAAGATCCTATTTCAAAAAAAAATCGCAAACAAAACAAAAGAAAACAAACAAACAAACCCCAAAATTGCTATTGGCACTTTTACATCTACAGAATAAAGTACCAACTCCACAAATTGGCACTGAAGAGTATTAACCTATCTCAGTTGATCTCCTACTAATCTTTGTTATCTTTTTTACAGTTTCCTGGATATGCCATGTTTCTTTTCTTTTTTTCATACTGGGAATCAAACTCAAGACCTTGCGCTTACCACACAGGTGCTATGACATTGAGCTATATTCCTAGCCCCATGTTTCCATCTTAAAACATCACATATTCTGTACCCTTGCTTTTGTAATTCTATTCCCCCCTTATTTAAAGAGCTGTATTTTAAAGCTTATCCTAAGTCTCATCCATCACAAAATCCACTCTGCCAACAATCTAGCTAACTTCAAATTTCCCCAGTAATGTTTCCTTTTTTAAAATTGTATTTATTTATTTATTTTGGTACCGAGAATTGAACTCAGCACCTTGTGCTTGCCAGCCAGGCAGTTGTGTCAGACATTTTTTAATTTTTCTGTGACAGAAAATATAGTAGAATGTTAATCTTGTAGCTAGGCAAGATTCAAATGTTGGCTTCACAACTTAGTAACTGTGGGACAGGGACAATTTACATCATTTTCTTAGCTTCAGATTCATTATAAATAACACACACACACACACACACACACACACACACACACACAGAGTGGGTTCAATCCGTGGTACAAAAAAAAAAAAAGTTATGCTACAAATGAAAATAGAATACATACACTATTTTAAACACAGCCATTATCGAAGGTATAACAAAATATCTAGGAAAAGATGAAGACACCGCTGAACAGAATCTAAATGTAGAATTCTTTGCACTGGGAGAATCTATTTTTATACAAATTCTTAGACCTTTAACCATCACATATACGCTTTTATGCCCCTAATTTATTCTACTCTTAGTAAATATTTTTGAGGCAGCGACTCCCTATGTAGTCCCGGTCCAGGATGGGCTCAAATTTGTTCCATAATCCAGCCTGGCCTTCAACTCGATATCCTCCTCTCTCAGCCTCTGAAGTGCCACTTTATAGGCGTATGCCACTTTGCCTGATTGGAAAAATATAATCTTACTATTGAAGTACACTTAATTTGTTAAAAGTGTTTATGCAGATTATATCACAAGTTGTTTTTTTCTTTCTTTTTTTAATATATTTGGTTGTTTCAGGGTCTTACTATGCAGCTTGGATTCATGGTGATCCTCCTGCTTTCAGCCTCCCAAGTGCTGGAATTACAGGCATATGCCACTACACCCAGACTCTGGCTGGCTCAGCCTGCCCTGGGGGCAGGGCTGGCATGGCAAGTGGTGCTGGGACTGAACTGCAGTTCCTATGCTCACCTAAACTTGCCTAAGCAGACACTTTAGTCCGCTGAGCTATCTGGCTGGCCCTAAATCACAAGCTTTTGTCAGGAAAATAAAGAGTTGAACTTATTTTAAAAATTCATTTTCCCTTATATGCCAATAACCAAATATAACAGAAAAGAACATAAAATGATAATAGTAGTACAAAACTTAAAGCATCTAGGAACATAACAAATGAATAAACAAGATCTTTATGGAAGGAAGTTAAGTCTTAATAAAGACATAATTGGATACTTGTAATAAAAGAAATCATAATTCCTATCATACTACAAACATATAATGTACTATAAGTGTGAAAGTCACCACAATAAAGCTTCCAGAAAAAAATAATATGCTGGGTATGATGGAGCACACCTGTAATCCCAGCTCTCACGAGGCTGGGGCAGAAGGATCACTGACAGTTGGAGGCCAACCTAGGCTACCTGGTAAGCTCAAGGCCAAGGTCAATTACATAGCAAGATTTGGCCAAAAAAAAAAAAAAAAAGCCAAACTCAAACCCAAAAACAACCCCAACACACACAAAATATAAACAACAGCACTTTATGCCCACCACTCTAGCAAATATTTTTAAACTTAGATGATAACCAATTATGGTGAGAACACAGTAGAAACAGGAACTCTCGTGCACTGACAAGGAGTGTAAACTCATGACAGTGTTCCCAAGCAGCCATTACAAGGTCTACATATATACTCCGTGGCCTACTGGTCCATTCTTGCAAACACTTCCTAGAGAGACCCTTGCATAGGTCTACCAATGCAACCAGACCCACATGTGTAAATATCGTATTGTCTCCCTAGTATAAGAACTTAAAAGAGGAATTACATATAGAAAGCTACAACACAAATAAAAGGAAAGTGAGAACTTGAGGACAGGACAATGCGGAGTGGGCAAGGAGAAAAGCTGAGAAACATGACAGGGGCAAAGCCATGCATTTGTACCCACGAGGTGGGTGGGGAAGTGATCTTGGGGTACATCAGCAGGTTTTCGAACTAGTGGTTGGCTGGTGAGACTCCCACCCTGACTAACTCTATATGCTGGTGCCTGTGAGCCAGGCGGCTGCACTGAGGATGGCGATGTGTAATAGAGGGTCATGCTTGGAGTGCCTGCCATCCTGGTCTTCTAAATATGTACCTCTTGTCATGACATACCATTTATTGCCATAATGTCTCTCAAATAAGGCGTTTTTTTTTTTTTGTTTTTTTTTTAAAGGTAATAAATGAAAACAAAGTCACAAGAATAAGAAAAAAAATGTCACAGGTCTGTCTTGTTACAATTCTGTATATGGTTAGATTTCTAAATTTCTTTGTAAAATTATGTTAATGCTTATTTCTACCTTTATAAAATTATTTTTCCTACATAAAAAAAAAAAAAAAGAAGAAGCTACCAATGCAGCCAAAACCAGGGAGAGTCTTCCATGGAGAAGCCATCCACAAATTATGCCATAGGTAAAAACCATCAGTTTTCTATAAATTCAGCCACATATATCTCTAAAATCACCTCTGAGGGGACGAGGAGATGGCTCAGTAGAATAAGCACTTACCTGGCAAATGCAAGGGCCTGAGTTCAATCCCTGGTTCTGCCAAAAATGTAAATTAATAAAAATAAAAATAAAATCACTATTGAATAGCTCAGTGGAATAAGTGTTTACCTGGCAAGCACAAAGTCCTGAGTTTGATCCCTGGTACCACCAAAAAAAAAAAAAAAATAATAATAATAATAATAAAATAAAATCACCATTGAAAGAAGACTAACAGAAAAAATGAGATGTATAATTAGCACAACATCATCTTGTAATGAAAAAGCACAAAATAATAATGTATAACTTATAGAGATATATACATAGCTGGGCATGGTGGTACATGCCTGCAATCTCAGCATTTGGGAAGCTGAGTCCCGAAGGACTGCTACAAGTTCAAGACCAGCCTGGTCTACACAGTGAGTTAAGATCAGCCTAAACTAAATAGTGAGACCCCATCTGAAACAAAAAGTAAATATAGGGCTGGGGAGATGGCTCAGTAGAATAAGCACTTGCCTGGCAAGTACAAGCACCTGAGTTCAATCCCCGGTTCCGTAAAAAAAAAAAAAAAAAGTTAATATAGACATATACATAGCTAAGAAGAAAAAAATGTCAGTGAATACCACAGGATGAGTGGAGAAGCCCCTACAGGAGGAACTGAGAAACACTACAAAGGAAAAAATAAAACATGGCCATCACATAGCTCATTGATGATATGCTATAAATTGATCATAAATGAATAAATTTGGCATAGGGAATTGAAATCAGGACCCTGTGCTTGCCAGGCAGGTGTTCTGCCATGGAACTGACCTGACCCAATCACAGATTTTATTTTATTTAATCTATTTTTTTTTTGTGGTACTGGGGATCAAACTCAGGACCTTGCGCTTGCCACACAGGTGCTTATACTGCTGAGCTATATCCCTAATCCTAAACTTTATTTTATTTATTTATTTATTGTATTTTAGGACAGGGTCTACAGGGTCTTACTGTGTAGATCAGACTCATAGTGATCCTCCTGTTTATAGCCTCCCAAGTGCTGGGATTGAACTTCCAGACCCTATGTCTGCCTAAGCAGGAGCTTTAACCTAAATTTTACTGTTGAGACAGGATCTCACTGTGCAGATAAAGAAATTGTCAGCTTCGCACCTCCTAGTCACACTAACCTGTTGTAGTTATACCTAAAGTAATATTTACTTTAGATAAGCATAGATTTTATAGCTTCTGAACATGCATATACCTGGAAAGATAAGAGAATTTGTATATCCTTTCATATGAGTCCTTATGATTTCATGCAAGCTGTAGTCTTTAAGCTTCTTTTCAATCATTCCAAGAAGAATCTGCATGACCAAGCAAAGCAGGCTCCAAAGGCAGGAAGCAGAAGCAACATGACACTATGGGAGTACCTTTCTGAACAGTCTCTTCTGCTGGTGTAGGGCCTTGGGGCAAACCTTCGACATATGTGGTTGGCAACAAGTCCACTGATATAGGGTGATCTTGTAGCTTCTGTAGTCTCTCTTGCACAGCACTGGTCAGATCTATATAAGCTTCATCAATGCTGGCACGTTCAATCACAGCAAAATGAGACATCACCCCCATCACTTCAACGCTGGCTTCCCGGTACCTAAAAAGCACGAGGGTCATACATGGAGGCAACCTTGGACTGTCAGCTCATCATCTCCCTTTCATAGTGAGCAATAATCTACATAATCAAAAGACATGTGGCCTAACAGAGACTAGACTGTTAGTGGGCAACTCCACAAGATCCTGTCTCAGAAACATTTTTTTTTTTAGAAATTATCCAAATAGTATTATTTTGTATTTATTTATTTATTTATTTATTTATTTATTTATTTCAAACCAAATTGGTAGGACAGTTTCAATAATTAACACATTGCATACATTCTTCCTAGTGGTTATTTGCTGTACAAGATGCGGACATGATATCCTATTTACAAACTATTAGAACAAATCCCCCTTTTCATTAAGAGAATGTAACTATATATCTAGCCTAACCATTTTGAATACACAGATACAAAATGGACATTTAACTGTATCCCCTTTTTTGTTTAGTTCCATTATTTGAATATTATAGGTGTGTTAACTCAGCAAAATATTCTAAAAGAGTCCAGTAGTCCATGATAGTATTGGGGCTTCTGCTTCACTAGCAATGTCAGAAATTGTTGACCTGAGTCCCCTACAGCTCAACATAACACCATGGCTTTACTTCTTATACTTCGTAGAAACATTTTTTTTTAAAAGGACTGCTAATGTAGCTTGATGCTACAGTATTCCTGGGTTCAATCCTTAGTACTGGAATAAATAAAATAAAAATGGTTGCGAAAATAACTCAGTGGTAGAGTACTTACCAGGAATGCTTGAGACCCTGGGTTCAATTCCTAGTTTGGAAAAAAAAAAAAAAAGGAAAAAGAAATAAAAAAGAAAAAAAAAAAAGGTAATGATCTTGTTTAACATTGGTGCAGTATGATTTTTTCCAAATCACACTATGAGATCAACAACATACTTTTTTGGTTGGTTGGTTGGTTTTTGGCAGAACCGGGGATTGAACTCAGGCCCCTGCACCTGCCAGGGAAGTGCTTATTCCATTTAGCCATCTCCCTGGCCCTAAAAATGTATGTTTAAGGAAAGTTATACTGTCTATACCAGTACAAAGTTTTATTCAATGTAATAGCACATATGTCAATGGCCTAAATTAAATCTGCTATGATTAGGCTGCTAATTACAGTCAAGTCTATCTTCTTTTCTAGCAGTAACTCCAATGTTACGCTGGCTAGGCCATTCCACTTTTAAGTCTTCTTATTCACAGATGAAATGAGGTATCTCAAGTTCCAAGTCAAACTGTAATACAATACCAACAATACTGTACTGTGAGACAGTAAATACTGGAATCTGAAAAAATGTAAATCCCTAGTCTTTTGCTCACCTGTGTGAACCTACTTTAGCCCCTCTAAATTTGATTCCTTATCTATGAAGGGAAGAGAAATACTGGCACCTACTTTTAATAATGTGAGATTTCAAAGAGGCATAGCCTATAAAGAGCTTAAAGCAATGCCTTTAATATGACATATGCTGAATATATTCATTAGGATTATTACTGGCTGCAGCTTGTTCCTACCTCTATATGTCTCTCATTGCAAGGCTCAGTGTTTAAAACTTGCAGAAAGTCTATTCAACTCAAAAACACAAAGAGGCAGGTAGGGTAGCTCATGCCTATAATCCCAGCCCTGAGGCAGGATTGTTGCAAGTTCCAGGTCAGCCTGAGTAACACAGTGAGTTCAAGGCAGCTTTAGGTATATAGCAAGACCCTATCTCAAAAAACCAAAACCAAATAAAATAAAACAAAACACAGGAGACAATCTCCTTTGCTTATTCAGCCCTGGCAGGATAATTTTTTTTTTAAACTCTAACAAATAATTCTAAATATTATGTAAATATCTAGGTAATTCTAGATAAAATGTAAATTTGAGGCATCCCTGGAAAAACTTATTAGTTTCATAGTCTTTTAAATCACTTTAAGGGGCCGGGGAGATGGCTCAGTGGAATAAGCACTTCCCTGGCAAGCACAAGTGCCTGAGTTCAATCCCCGGTTCCAAAAAAAAAAAAAAAGAAAGAAAGAAAGAAAGAAAGAAATCACTTTAGGCTTTTGTACTAAGAACATGGGAATTTTTAAAAAATATAAATTAGTATTAAGTTTTAATTATAATAACCTAACTAGGCATGGTAGTACTCACTTGTAATCTGAGCATTTAGGAGGCTGAGGCAGGAAGATTATGAGTTTCAGGCCAACCTGAACTATATAGCAAGGCTTTGTCTCAACCTCCCTCCAATAAATAAAACTGTAACAATTTTAAACAACTAAGGAAATAAATGACTATTAGAGGAAGCAATTACTGTAATAATAGCTCTGAACTATTACTGAAATAGAATGTTAAAACCCGCTTTCATTTCATAAAGGTGCTCACAAAGGGAACTTTTCAGATGTTAAACAACTGAAACATTAGTTCCAGGCCTCACAAATTATTATTTTCTTATTTTCCATGTCTGTTTATTTATTTATTTTCTGTATTTTAGGGAAGGGTCTATAGGGTGTTCACAGTCTCACTACTAAATCGGACTCATAGTGAGTCTCCTATTTACAGTGACTGTCCTGTTACAGCCTCCCAAGTGCTGGGATTACAGGCATGGGCCACCACACCCAGTCTCAATCACAGTCTCAGCACACCCCAGGGGCAGGGCCGGCACAGCAGGCTGAGGGATTGAACCCCTGACTCTTGCCCCTGCTTGCAGGGGCTTTAATCTGCTGAGCTATTTAGCCGGCCCTTTCCATGTCCCTTTAAACAATTTCCATGTCCCTATTTCCTTACTTGGTAAGATTAGCTTTCCCCCGGGATTCACGAACTTGTGCCAGTAGAAGATCTGGGCATAACTTCTTAGCGTCATCGGCCCACATATTTCTAGTGACCCCAAATGCACGAGCTTCATAACTCACAGCAATTATTCTAAGGTTAGAAGAAAAAGAAAGACCAAAGGGGAAAAAGATTAAATTTAGCAGGAACAAGCCATACATATATAAAGTTAGAAACTTTTTGACCACAGATACCATTTGATTCCAAACACAGCAGTTTGGAAATCTCAAGAGACAAAGAGCTTACACAATGACACTGTATCCTCCCCATGGTTTAAAGTAGCACTAGACAGTCACAACAATAAATAACAGTACATACCCACCACCTTTCCAGGATTTGTACTGCACAACTGCACAAGGTTTATTTCTCAAATGAGGATTTTGCCGCTGCTCCACTTGAACAAAGAAACAGTCCATGTCCACAAGAGCAACCACTCGGTCTTGTCCAGTATCCATGTCTTCTGTAAGAAGACATTTCATGGAGTTAGAGAGATGCTAATCTAAAATACCAGGGAAAACTCTATTTCCATTCTTTCACTGATGACTTACCATAAGCTTGGGAGCATGGAAACTAACAGGAGTATAAGACATTTTCACATACTGCTGGGAAGAGCATAACGTAGTACAACTTTATGCAGGTAATAAATATTAAATACTTCAAAAGTAACATCCTCAAAAGAGTCAAAAAATTCACAAAAGTTATGCAAATAGCCAATAAGTGCATAAAAACAGGCTCAGCATCATTAGTCATGAGAAAATGCAAATACATTTCAGCACTTTTTTTTTTTTTTTTCGGAACCAGGGATTGAACTCAGACTCTTGTGCTTGCCAGAGAAGCACTTATTCTACTGAGCCATCTACCTGGCCCTGAAAATGCAAATACAAACCACAATGCATAAGTAGGAAGCACTGAAAATAGTGTCACAGAGCACCCTGGAACTCACAGGGGAGAAGGGACAACACCTTCTAGTTTTTAAGTACTAATCAACATGGAACTCTTCTGTTATGGGTACAATAAGAAGTTTCTAAACACATAAAGCACATCAGTAAGGCCCCAAAGGGCCTTGTGCCTTACTGCTAAAGCCAAAAATTAACTTTCTAAAGAAATCTATGTTATATGAGAAAAATTGGGACAGAGAGATAGCTCAGTGTAGAATAAGCGCTTGCCTGGCAAGCACAAGGGCCTGAGTTGAATCCCTGGTGAGAGAGAGAGAGAGAGAGAGAGAGAGAGAGAGAGAGAGAGAGAGAGAGAGAGAGAGAGAAATTACCCAAAGACTGTGTTGTCTAAAGCTTACTTTAGCAGTAGTAGGCTCAATATTCTGTGGCACAACTTAAAGGAACAATGACATATAAATACTGACATCTGATTTCTTGTGTGCTGCCTCAGCATTCAGGGCATTTTACCCTGGCACTTTCACTACAACACTAAAAAATATTCCAAGCTTCACATTAATCTTACTTGACAGCTGATATTTTAATTGTATGGGTGCTTAACTCTATAAGACAATGAACACAATGTATTTTATCTTTTCTTTCGTTTTTTTTTTTTTTTTTTTCTGAGACAGGGTCTCACTATGTAGTTCATCTGGCCTTAAACTCAGTTTATAGCCCAGCCTTGCCTTGAACTCAGCATTCTTCCTGCCTCAGACTCCCTAGTGCTGGGTGGGATTGCAGGTGTGTACCACCACACCAGGCAAAGAAATGTATTTTGACACTGATATTTTGCTAAAGTATGTTGATTTTTTTTTTTTAAGAAAAGCACACATATAATGTATTGACTATCAATGGGGTAGAAGGCTGACAGTAATCCAGTTAATAGATCTGAGTATAAGGTTAAGGAAAAGAGCTGCAGAAGAACATGTATACAGTCAGGTTTCCACACACAACAGTTCTACATCCAAACAACTATTTTATTTTTAAAAACTGTATGTGTACTGAGCATATACATTTTCTTTGTTGTTCTAAAAACAATACAGGGTAACATTAACAAGTATCAATCTGCCAGGGCCCACCAGATAGCTCAGTGGATTAAAGCACCTGCTTAGGCAGACACAGGGACTGGGTTCAATCCCCAGGGGGCGCACTGAGATGAGACTGGGCGTGCACACACCTATAATCCCAGTTCTTGGGAGGCTGAAAACAGAAGATCGGTATAAATCCAATCTGTGTAATGAGACCCTGTGGATCCTGTACTAAATATAAAAACAAAACAAAACAAAACATCTATCTGATTTAAAAACATTCCATCTGCAGACTTTTACACATTTGAATGGACCTTGTATTAGAAACATTTGTAGATACAAATAAATAGGGTCACAGACGTTCAGACATTGTCAAGGTTGTGCTGCTGTGTGGCTTACAGTACTGTGTTATAGTGTACAGTAGTACAGTGCTCAATCAGAGCCCAGGATGTCTGGAAACAAGAGGTAAAGTAGAGGTGATGTGGAGGAGCTCTGTAGGAAGCAAAAGGCAATAACCATGGAAAAGAAAGTGAAAATACAGTATAAGACTCACTCTGTCAGACTTATCAACAAATCCAACTTATGTGCGTTCTCCCAGAACAGAACTTATTCAAAATTTGGGGACTTACTGTAAGTATTCTAGAAATGATTTGAAGTATGTTGGCAGGGATTTCGGTTGCCATGTGCCTATTATTTTCAAGGTTCTGGCAATGATATAAAAATAATGCTTTCATTTTATAATATGGGGGGTTGGGTTTATGATGTCAATATGTTAACTATAATCAATTAGTTAATATGGTGTTTGCCAGGCTTCTCAGTATACAGTTTTTTCCTTTTGTGGCTAATAAGTATCTTGAGAGAGAACACTTTGAGACTATGTAACTATCCTGCTACTCTTCAAACTTTCAATCACTAAACAATTGGGTTTTTTTTGTGGAACCAGGGATTGAACTCAGGCCCTTGCACTTGCCAGGGAAGCGCTTATTCCACTGAGCCATCTCCCCGGCCCAAAGCAATTGTTAATGGAAAACTACAACGATTACTCTGTAACAATTGTTATTTTCTGTTTAATTAGGACACAAAACAGAAAAGGTCCTCTATGATTGGTGGCTAGACATAAAAGTATGTGTTGCATGAATAATAGATTGGAAAGACTACACATTTGAGACTAGTTACTGACTGCTATTTAACATTATTAGTAGTTTGGAAGAAATATAAAACATTGGCTACACGCTGGAATCACTTGGGAACCCTTAAATAACATTGCTGACTGCCACCTCAGACATCCTATTTTAATCAGTATAGATGTGCCCTGGCCATCATGATTTGTAAGGTTCTTTAAGCAAATCCAATACACAGCAGAATTTAACCACTGGCCTCAAATAAATAAGATGCTATGAAACACCACAAATTCACGATTTAAATATAAGAAACACAGGTTATACACTTGACTGAGCACCCAACTGTACTCTTTTTAAAAAAGTCTTTCAAAAACTAACAGTCACCATGAAAAACTGTCAATACACCCTACCAGGGGCCGGGGTGATGGCTTGGTGGAATAAGCGCTTCCCTGACATGCGCAAGGGCCTGAGTTCAATCCCCGGTTCCGCAAAAAAAAAAAAAAAAGAAATAGGTACACTAAAAGTGCAAATCCTTGTACTATCTGGTTTACCCCCACCCTACCAAAGCTAGAAGATTAATGGGGAAAAAAAACTATACAATTAAGAAAATCAAGAGTAGTCAAAACATTTACTCCTGTCAATTCCTACTGATCACTCACCTAAAACAAATACTTTAAACATTATAATTTAAAACCATGTTAGAATTTTTTTTCTTTGAAATATCTTTTCTCTAGGATAAGGAAAGTTATATCACGAGTGAAATGGGAAGCAGTGACTTAGCAAACATTTTACTAGGTACCCCCTTCTCCCCCCAAAATCACAAAAACAGCTAGGCGTGGGCGATCCCAGCACCCACCAGCGTGAGGCAGGAGGCTCTCGAGTGGAGCCCGGATTACACAGCAAGACTTTGTGCATACACACAGCTAACACAAAAACAGATGTGCGGATATGCAGCCATGACAAGTATTTCCTGGAGAAGACATGGTTTTATAACGAGAAGAGAGAATGCACAAACATGCTTTCAGCCAAGCCCCGGCTTCCGGATAAGGTTACACCCCTCTGAATTCTTACATTTTGATAAATCATGAAAACTGCACAAGTCTTCAATGACTGCATTTCATCTTTAAATATCCTATTTATCCCAATCTGCACAACACAAGTTTGGAGCCGAGCAAGTAGGAACTCGCCAGGGAAAAATAAATGAGCAATAAATGAGTGGGTAGAGAAAGCTATAAGAACTACAGGGAAATGTTTTTTTTTTTTTTTTTCCTACAAGACAAATGTCAAGAGCGTCTCTCTGTGATCAGCATGTTCTCATTTTCGGTCCAGTGTGTCACCTGTCACGCTATTCCATAAAACCAGCCGGCAAGGCATTGTAAGGAGTCCGAAGGCAGCGACACCGGACGCCTCTCTTTTTCCTTACCGAGGCGACAAACACCTTACCAAAGTTGCCGACGACGGACACAGGGCTCAGGGTTCACCGGAGGAAAAGAAGGAATCTAGCATGTCTCCACACCCTTCCGAGGACAGGGCAATAGTCTTGAGAGTTTCGTCCCTCTCCCTCAGGAGAATCCTTCAAGCAGCCCACAGACCGCTCCCGCGGAGTCGCAGGGAGAGCCAGCGACTGACGTCAAACAGCGCGCGCGCCCCAGGCGACCGTTGGCGCGCCTGCGCACAACCACTTTTCCGCCTCGCCCCGCCCACCAAGGAGGACCCGCACCGCCGAATCGCCACTTCCGTGCACGCGTGCGCAGTGGCGTGTCGGGCGCGTGCGTAGCGCCGGGTCCTTCCCGGCTCCGGCTCTCGCGGATCGCGCTCCTCCTCCAGCTCCCTACCCCCAGCCCGCGGCGGCCGGGTTCCAACGTGTGGCCTCTCTGAGTGAGGCGTCGGTGCTTCGTGCTGCACAGACTGCCCTGCCGTGTGTTCTCGGCACGTGGTGCCTGCCATGGCGATGGATCAAGTGAACGCGCTGTGCGAAGAGCTGGTGAAAGCGGTGACGGTCATGATGGACCCCAGCTCCACCCAGCGCTACAGGCTGGAAGCCCTCAAGGTAGCAGGCATCCCGACGCCCCGGGTCCCGACGCCCTTCGCGCCAGGGGTCCGGGTCTGCGCGGCCCCGATTCCTCCCAGCTTGGGCCTCTCCGCGCCGCCATCCGAGCTCTGCCCCCGCCCTTCGCCCCAGACACTGCCAGGGCCCTCGCCCTCACCCGCCGCCCGCCGCCCTTCCCCCTCCTCGCGACCCTTCGGCCACCATCTCCACCGGTTTTCACCCTCCCAGCCCCACTTCTCCACGCCCTCCCCCGAGGCGCACACATGCTGATCCCGCCCCCAGTGCCAGCTCGGTCTTTCAGGGTCCTCCCAGTGAACACCCGCAGGCCCTCCCAATCGTCCTACCCACCCTCCAGCCCCGCCCCCCATGCCCGTCTTACCATCCTTGCCTAATGCATAGTGGTTGTCACTTCTGGGCTAATCCGCATACCCTTTCCTTGTTCTCCAAAGAGTGTTATTCGTAGGCTGTGTTGTGCAAAGATGAACTTCTACCACTTGCTTTGCATTTTCTCAAGTGCGCTTTGGTTTCCTGAAAATAGTTTTTTGTTTTTGAGTGCCGAGTGGAGTGCTTTGGTTTGTGGACTCTCTAAGTGTGGTAGTTTGGGAATTGAATAATACCAATGGGAATAGTACTAAAATAGATCTAATCCTCCTTTAAACGATATCTGTAGGTGCTCAACCAGTGTAGTTTAGGTAATGTGACTTCATAGCGCCATTTGGAGGAAATTTTACATACTATGCCACAGAACTTGGAATCAAATAATTATTTTTTATTATAAAATATTTAGCTGGGCATCGTGGCACACACCTGTAATGCCAGTACTGGAGAGGCAGAAGCAGGAGGATTGCTGCAAGTTTGAGGCCAGCCTGGACCTCAGTTCAAGGCTAGTCTGCACTACAAAGTGAGACTCTGTCTCAAAGCCCCGCTCCCCCCATTTAAAGTAGGCACAAAAGTAGAGAATTCTGCTATCATCTAGTAGTCATACGCATGCTTGTCATTTACATTCAGCTGTTATTTAGCTCTCAATACTTTTGCTTTATTCTGTCCCCCACCTCAAGTTTTTAAAGCAAACCTGAGGAATTGTCATTCTGCCATCTGCCATTATATACTTCTGAAGTGTATTTCTCAATTTTTTACTCCTTTAAGTCCAATTATTTTTTTCAAAGATACTAAGGCATTAAAGTGGAAAGAAACATTTATCAGGTCTTTATTTGCATAATAATGATTTAGGGCAACTAAGTTTTTGTTTATTTGTTTTTACTCCCTCTCTCTTAGCTCCCCAAGGGAAGTACTAACTTTGCTTCTTTCAGTTTTGTGAAGAATTTAAAGAAAAGTGCCCTATCTGTGTCCACTGTGGCTTGAGGCTGGCTGAGAAAACACAAATTGCCATCGTCAGACACTTTGGTCTTCAGATATTGGAACATGTTGTCAAGTAAGCAACTCTTGGATATGACTACTGTAGGCTGTGAGAGCACACACCTTTATTTTTTATATAACTTGCATGTTCATTTCCATGCTCATTCATGAGTTTGAACCTTTCAACGCACTCAACAAATCTTAACTAAGGAAGCCATATGGCCTCACTGGAGAAATCTAGTGTATAGGTAAACACATCTCTGATTAGGCACCATACCCGTCTTATTTTTTCAAATGTGGGTCTTCCCTGAACGACTAAGGGCAAGCAGACTTCTATGAAAATAACTGAAAACTCCTAACTTCAGTCTTTTTAATGTCAACACCTTTCAGAAGAGTCAGATTTTAAGATTTACCCAGTTTTCCTGAAACTTGACTCTTAATTATGAACCAGTACAGAAAGAGAATAGTATCAAGAGTTAATGTTTTCTAGCCAAGTATGGTGGTTCACACCTACAACACCAGTTCTCTGGGAGACTGAAGTACAGGCTTTGGAGGTTTAAAGCTAGCCTGGGCAATGTGCTTCAGAGAGGCCCTGTCTCAAATTGAAAGTGAGCTAAAGATGAGCTTTGTGTGAAGGCTGTGGGTTCATTCCCCAGTATCCCGGACCCTCTTAGTATCTCCCAGATTTAGATTTTCTGGAAAACTGTTACAGTACTAGTGTTATCCTAGATGTGTATTTACTTTTGGCCTATTAGTAAGAACTTGAGAGAAAAACTGATTTGTAGCACAGATCCTTAATGGGCTCTAATTAGTAGATACATTTAAAACTTTTTCCTCAGCATTTGTCTACCTATTCTCCAAAGGGTACAAAATAAAAAAATACGGTTTCTTAAAGAAATTGCTGAATAATCAAATGCAGAAATCAAAGCTATTCTCTTGTGAAGAAAAGACATCTGACACAGTTCTGTTCCTTTTTGCATTTTGGTGGCAGGTTCCGGTGGAACAGTATGTCTCGCCTGGAGAAGGTCTTCCTGAAGAACAGTGTCATGGAGCTGATCGCCAATGTAAGGACAGGGTGACTGGGGTCTTAGGTTTCCTTGTACTGTTGTTTTAAAAAATCACTAGTTGTTATAGGCCAGTCAGTATAATAATTGATTTTGCCTTCAAGGAAAAAAGCAACACTTCTGAGGGATCATAATTCATCCAGTTTTTCTTACTAGATTTAAATGGTTACCCTTGTGGGTGGACTTGGTTTGTCTGAGCACGTGTCTGGCAAGCAGAAGGACCTGGGCTCGATCCTGGGTAGCGCATGCTGTGCCAGCCACAAAAGCCGGGTGTGGTGGCACGTACCTGTAATCCTAGCACTGGAGAGGCTAAGCCGGAAGGATCACTATGAATCTGAGCTGCATAGCAAGACCCTGTACCAGATAGATAGATAGATACATACATATGCACATATATACATACATAGATTAAATTCAGAGGCCAGAGGTTAAACATTTCTAGGAAGCAAATGAATAAGATTCTTAGGTCTAAATTAGACTGAAACACTCTCCACGTTGTTGTTACTTAGACTGAGCTACCTTGTGACACTAGTAATTAAAAAAAAACAAATGCAGAATGAATGTTTAAAGTATTTGTATATGATTTTAAATATGTTTTAAGTCCACAGTCTTTCTTTTTTTAACAAAGGGCACAAAATGTGGAATTCCCTACCCTTTTCATGCTGTAAGTGAGAAAAATATTCCCTTCAAAATTATGAATTAAGGGCCGGGGAGATGGCTTAGTGGAATAAGCACTTGCCTGGCAAGTGCAGGGGCCTGCGTTCAATCCCTAGTTCCGCCCCCCCCCAAAAAAGAGCAAAATTATGAATTAACCAACTAAGACTTTTATTTTTTGCTAGTCCCGTGGAGACTAGTCTTAATATCACACTTATAAAAGACACTAGTAATTTTTTAATATTCTCATACTAGAATTATTAAATAGTCAATTACCCTCCCATTTTATCATGCTCTGAGTGTATAGTTCTTTTTTTACTCTTCCTCACTGGCCCTTAAAAAATAAAGCAAACCAAGCATGATGGTTTAAGCCTGTAATCCCAACTCTCTGGGAGGCTGAGGCAGGAAGATCACAAATTTAAGTCCAGACTAGGCAACTAAGCTAGACCTTGGCTCAATAAAGGGCTGGGTTTGAAGGACTTTATGTAAATCCCCAGTACTACAAAAAACAAGTCATATGTTGGGCATAGTGACACATGCCTATAATACCAGCACTGGGAATGTGAAGCAAGAGGATTACTGGGAGTTCTAGGCCAGCCTGACTTGCATGGTGACATCCTGTCTCAGAAAGAAAAAGAAACAAAAACAAAAATATGAAGCAATATGAAAGTGTGGTTTGTAAAGAGGTGTGATGTTTTCCTAGCTCCATGTGACAGCTATTTCATTAGCTGATGCAAGCCTCATTTAAACTTGAGAAGAGTGACTAGTTTGTAGGCAGGACAAGTAATTAAGACAGGGAGAACAAGTCTACTTTTTTTAGTTGTTTTTTTTTAAGAACGGGATTGAACTCAGGCCCTTGCACTTGCCAGGGAAGCACTTATTCCACTGAGCCATCTCCCCAGCCCCTTCTTTTAGTTTTAAAGTAGGCTGCCAATGAGTTGTACACATTACAGCCCAGGTTTGCCACTTGGAATTCAGTCCTGCAGACCTCTTTCCATCCTTGTTCTTTGCAGGGAACAATGAACATTTTGGAAGAGGAGAACCACATTAAAGATGGTCTGTCAAGAATCGTGGTGGAGATAATCAAGCGAGAGTGGCCGCAGCACTGGCGCGACATGCTGGTGGAGTTGGACACACTGTCCAGGCAAGGGGTATGGAGTTTTTATTCCCATGCAAACCCCAGGGCTGGCTTCCTGCTAACACTGGCTGCTGTTCTTATTGCAAGAACATAGCCTCGGAAGAGTCTGTGATGAGAAAAGTGCTCTGGTCTAATGCCCACTGGCTTATTTCTGTTGTACAGGAAACACAGACGGAACTGGTCATGTTCATCCTTTTGCGCCTGGCAGAAGATGTGGTGACCTTTCAGACACTTCCCTCTCAAAGAAGAAGGGATATCCAGCAAACCCTAACCCAGAACATGGAGAGTATCTTCAGTTTCCTACTCAACACACTGCAGGAGAATGTGAACAAATACCAGCAGAT